TAATTACAAATTTCAAATTACCTTATCATATAAAGTAGTAAACCTTCGTGGGACACTTGGTATTTATTATTATATGCATATAAAATTATTATATTATTATTAGGTGTATATAAGGAATAGTGTAAACCTGAAAATATAATTTTTAATCAAATTAACTTTGGACTCATAATTTATTTGTTGAATCTATCTTTACCCATTTCTAAATTTATTTATGGGATCAATAATATATAGCACTGCTAAAATATTAAACCGGTCCAATTACATGGGCTTCTTCTATGTAGTACCCTCATTATATCAGTGCATTCGATATAATACAATATCACTTTGATGGAAGGTAGGTGGTTAATTTAATGGAACCTCTAAATCCCCTTATCCAATCATACTTTTAGTTGATATATTTTTAAAAATTGAAAGTTAGCAACAATTTTCAACACATTTTTGCATGATAATAATTAAAGAGAACAGTACAATATTTTTGTGATAAGTAATGACATAAAATAATCAAGTGTCCAATTAATTTTAGTTTTCGTCGAATTTTAAATTTGAAAAAACAATGTAAGGATTCATAACTTGAAGCTAACTTCTTCAAAAAAAACAGTTTCCCTTACACCACTGATCGTAAGCGATTACAAACAATTGGATTTTACTTTTTGAAAGTATAAGTTTCTTTTAATCTTCATCCATATGGTATTTGGTACAGAATTACAAAAATGTTCAAAAAAAAATTCGTGGAAACCAAAGACATATCTTACTGTTTAAAATGTTCATACACATATATGACTAATGTAGAAAACAAATCTAGAAACATTTTCTGAATGTTTGTCATATTAAATCATTTTTTTTATGCATTTTTTAAGCAATTAAGTCATTTAAAAAACGATTCCGTTCTATACAGTCGGTATATCTAATTTAATAAAATTTAATTATAAATAATTCTATTTTTTCTTATAAAGTAATGGACGAAAGTTAATTAATATTTCAATGTTAGTAACACAAAATGAAATATTGTTATTTTTTTAATTTAAAATTTCCTACTACTATATATATGTCACAATATGTAATATATATGTGTATATGTAAAACATATATTTTTGCCGTTATAATGTTGAAAAAAATAAGTATTATATAATATATAATATATATATTATACTTCTTAATTATTCCAAATATACGCTATTTGTGTTTAAAATTATAGTCAGTCCTTTAATTTTTCAATTCATACAGAAAAGAAATATTATAAATTAATTAATTTTCTTTAAATATAAAGACCTACAATTTGAAGTTATTGTAAGTAATTGAATCTCTAGAATTATATTTAAAGTTACTTTAAACTTTAATACAACATGAACATTCCTGTCCAACATTTTTTTATAAACAACTATCGTCTAGAAACCAATTGTTTTACTGATTGAGGAGAGTGAATTGGACGGAGCTAATGTTTTAATGATGATACTACACATATAATTATACAAGATACCTGTATAATAATATGTTACATATTAAATATAATTTAAAAACACATTTTGTTGTGTTTTATTTTTATTTTTACATTAAAGTTTATACTAGTGCAAGTACTCGATTCGTCAAATAACAAAATAAATGTTTTTTTTTTTTTTGACTCATACCAGACTAAATAAAATTTTAAAAATCATCACATATTTATACATTTTGTTTTTCATCTCAACTTCTTAATGTGAAATAAATTTATATAAAATGCCATTTAAGGAACACATAAAGTTCATAAATCTTCAGTAACAAACGATGTAAAAAAAACGTACTACAATTAGGGATGGCAAAAAATCGTTGACCATCGATATATCGTAATTTCGATACATTGTATACTCAATATCGATACTACGATATATCTAACACTATTTTACCGATATATCGATATATATCGAAAAAAAATTTCTAATACTAAAAAAGGTTTATGGACTTGTTCTTTGGTTATAATTTATTTTAGAAAATGTATAGCCATTTCGCCCATAGCCCATAGACCGAGGCCCTAACTTGTAATTTGTAAATTGTAATCTATACTTACAATAAGATTGATGATAAATAAACTAATTAATCAAAGCATGTATACTCAACAAAATTATAAAATATTTTATATTATAATATTTATCATACCAGAACAATGTTAATAAATTATAATTTAAATTTTTATATATTACAGTATACGCCTATATATATATAATATTATAATAAAAATAAATGTATTCCTTTATTTTAACAATATATATTTTTTTAAATATTATTTAAAACTAAATACAAAAAATATGAAGCAAAATTAAAACTTATGAAGTATGGAACCAAAGATCATCATCAACTGAATTTAAAAATAGTAATTTACTCAATCTCTTTCCTAAAAGTCTATTCCTTGACTTTGAAAGCGTAAAACTGGCCTTTGAAAATAATCTTTCTGAAGGAACAGATGAATCCATGACAGACAAATATTTCCGAGCAAGTATATATAAATCCGGATATACTGTTTTCATTTCTTCCCAGCATTGGATTGGATCTTCTTTTAGAGAAATTATAGGCCGCGATAGGTAGGCATTTACATTGGTCGTTTTGGCTGAATCTGTTCTTGTTTGTTTCTTCTTATATTTCTTATGTACCAATGTTTTGTGGTGTTCCCATCAATCAAAATTATCAGTTTTCTGTTCTTCATCCATACTTGAACATTCAGTTGAGCTTGTGTCCTGTACTGAATTTTTTGCTAACTTTTTTACCTCTGCTATGGCTTTTTGACAGGCTACAGGATCTCTGAAGTGCAAATTTTTAAACCTAGGGTCTAAAATTGTAGCTATAGGAATCATATATAAAAATTCAATTTTACCAAACCGTTTTTTCAATTCTGCGATAATGTTTCTTTTTAGTTCAATTCCAATATCTAAGTTAGGTTGTATTGACTCTATCTCAATGGTAACACAATTCAAAAGGGGCATAATTTTACTGATAACAACATATTTTTCACCGGATATTTCTAGAGTCACTTTCTCAAATGGCCGTAGTAATTTTATCGTTTCACGCAATTGTTGTAGCTCTCTTGCTGTGAGCATTTCAGGATCTAATGGTTTTTTTAGAAGGACATCGGAAACGAATTTAGACAATACTAAAAATCTATCAATCATATAAAAGGTGCTGTTCCATCTTGTCTTCACATCTAGAATAAGTTTATGGACATTCCCTTCCTTTTTTCCTGAAAAATATATTTAATTTATTATTTAATCAAATTCTATATTTCTACATAAATTATAAATATAATTTTATTTTGTTTTTCATTTAAATTGTACTTTATGTGAAAAAAAATCATAGATTAATTTTACCTTCATTTATTTGCAATTTTCTCAATTCATCAGAAGATAAAGTACTTCGTTTAAAGTACTTCACTACTTCTCTGACTTTGTACAATAATTGTTTGAATTCCTCAGAATTTGAGATTGAATTCTCAACAACAAGATTAATAGTGTGGGCAAAACAAGGAATATGATTATCTCTACCAAACTGGTCATAAATTGCTTTGACCATATTGGCCCCATTATCAGTAACGACAGCTGCAACATTTTTTTTATGAATATTCCACTCAGTCAATGTATTTAGAAGTTGACTTCCTATATAGTCAGCAGTATGAAATTGGGTCAATTCTACTACACCAAGTGTACTTAAAATATAATTTAATTGAATTTAAAGATTTGTAATCCAAATGATTCATTTGTGCCTACAATTATTATTAAAATTTTTACCTGACAAAAAAGTCGAACCATTCAAGAAGTGAATTGTGATTCCTAAAAAACTTTTCATCGTATAAGTATCGGTCCAAGCATCAGTTGTAACGGATATATTTTCTGCATTTTCAATTTTTTCTTTAAAACGCATTGAAAGATAATCAAATTTATCATCAATATACTTTTTAATTGTATTCCTAGTTGGTATTTTATAAAGTGGGCAAATTCGTGACAGCATATATCGAAACCCTTTACCATCGACTGTACTAAATGGCTGATTATCTTTGCAAATATAATAAACTATAGCTTCAGTACATATAGAGTGTTGTGACCCACCATCTGAAAATTTTTTTTATATATAATAAATATATAATTGAAATTTAATATAATTTAATATAATATAATTGTATTTAATATAATTGAATAATTAAATATTTAAAAAATAAAATATTTACCTAAAAATGAAGCCACTTTTGTAAAAGCTTGCGATATAGACTGTTGTCATTTAATTGGTTCTAAGGTAGTTGTTTTCGTTCCAGCAGAAGTAGAAGCAGCTTCAAAAGTACTGGTAGTTGCAACACTATGAGATTCAGTTATGGAAACCGCGTCAACCTATTTTCATTGTGTTGTAATATGCATATATTATTAAGAAATAATAATACGCATATTCCTGAGTCATATAAGGAAAAACGTACCAAGAATAACTATTGCACACATAAACTTTAATGAGTGCCACGTGCGAATTACAAACAACCGCAAACAACATCATCATTCGAATAGGACAATCAAGGCAAAGGGCAACCAAGTGGCGAAAACAACACAATTAAAACAGAATCAAACAGAGTATATAAAGGCTCCGTTTCACCACCAACGGCAGACGTGTCCAGCTATCAGACCAAGCCCTTCTGAGTTTCGTCTTCGATATTGTTAGCGCGCAAATTTATAATTTATATCTGTGTCTGTATTTGTATCTGTATTTATTAAAGTGTTTACAAGTGTTTAAATTAATCATTGAATCAATTTACCCTGATCCATCAACATCATTACGATAGGTGCCTGTTTTTATTGGGTACCACGTAACAGTGTTTTTATATTATAATTATAAATAAAATAGCAAACTTTTATAGCATTTGAATAAATTTGAAAAATTTTTGATGAAAAGAATTTCAAAAATCCCAACTGTTTTAAAAGTTTATAGTACATATTTTTACATACTTAGTGATTAAGTAGTTTTAAGAGCACATTTTTCAATTTTACTATTTTTTAAAGCATTTATATTTCATGATTAATGATATGTTAATAATACAATTTAATAATCGGACAATATTAATAAAATATTATTATTAATTAAATATTAATGATGTTCCAAGACTTAATGATATTTAGGGAATAATTTTATTATTAATAATATATAATTAACAAGTACTTACATTAATTGGGGCGTCTTCATCTTGGGTATTTTCGGAATCTATCAACTTATTGTGCGTTTTCAAATGGCTACGTAAATTGGATGTATTTCCAGATGTTTTAAGCCGTTTTCGGCAAATATTACACATGGACAAGTTGTTATTAACTTTTGTAAAATCTTTCCAAACAGTACTTATTGGCGGCATTTTTAGTTAGTTGTAGTCACGCAAATAAAAAATTATATAAAATAATGCAAAATGTAGGATACTCCAATTGTAAAACACAACTGTACAAGTTAGTACGTATTACGTGTATCGTGTATGATCGTCAACAGTCAAAAACTCAAAAACATTAAACAGAACGGTTTAATAAATTATATAAATCAGAATCAAATTGTACAACAGTCTACGGACGTCGAACAAATAATAATGAATAATTGTCAATGATCAATATGACAGAAGTTAATATACGTTTATGGCTTCATGGGCTCGTGGATTTATGGCCATATCGGCATTCTATAGTTAGGGACACGAAAAGTGGCGTGTGACCTTGACTGTACCCCAACCCACACCCGGCCTGTGCTCGGTGGTTCTCAACATTCGGCGCATGAGGCGTATTTCGCGCGAGCAGCGTAACATTTTGTGTATTGTACACATTTTTCAGGGCCTCAGTGAATAATTTAAGAAGGGGCCCCGTCGGTATTCGCCGACTAAACGACCGTTAAATCCGCCACTGATTGTACACATCATAAAAAAAATAAGGTTACTGTTTTCATTCTATGGCTTTCAGTTTTCAGTCGTTTAAGAACCCATTAGACGATTTAACCGCTTGGATCGCGTCGGTCACACGCCACTTTTCGTGTCCCCAACTATAATAATAGTTTAATAGTAGATATTCCATGTAACCGTACTGCCGTACAATATACAATATAATAATTATCTAAATCGACCTTCGATGTTTTCAAGGAGGAGGGTGGTACAATATGTAAACAGTGTTTATTGACACAAGCTATTAATATACAAAATCCCAAATAATTTATAATTATATTTGTTACAATATAAAAATAATATTTATTAGTTTCCCGACGATCAATCGTATTGAAATATTGTAATACTCGATAATATCAAGAGGATATATCGGTAATGTTCTATCGATATAAAATGTCTCGATATATCGACTTCATATATCAATATTTTCGATATATCGATATATCGTTGCCATCCCTAATTACAATCGGTTCACACAAAGAATATTATTTTATAATTACTATTATTTTGGTTTAGGGTTTTTTTTTTTTTTGTTCAATTATTACACATAAAGGTTGCATGTGTTCAAAAGTATCTTTGTGAAAAAAATAATAATAATCCGAAAACAAAAACACATTCGGAAAGTGATCATAACCATAGGAATCATTCGGTTAGTTGCTCATGTCTAGACATTAGAGTTACATAGGGTTCCATATTCGGTTAAGGTCTCGTAGGGACGTTCTAGAAAATCTAGGATGGTGTGTATCAATATACTTGATATACTACCATACTATCAATATAACTATTTGTTTAATGAAAACCATAATTCTTTATTTTAGAAAAAATATTTGTTTATTTATTAAGATTGCCTACATAAGAATAATATTTTTAATTTATCACATGATTTATTTACTTGGATAGCTATACTTTTCAGAAAATTTTGATTTTTTCAATAGTTCTTTGTTCCCTTTAATATATTTGTGAAATTCTGCGCAAGTCATGTTATAATTAACTTGACACTGTAAAATCGACTCCATAGTCTCTGAGAGGAGGTGATTTCGGGCAGTGGTCCATTGAGCCGACATTAATGAAAAAACTCTTTCCACTGTGGCATTATGTACAGAGATAGCAAACAAATAATTTCACATAATTTCACCAGTTAGCTTATTTTTCCTTATTTTCAATTTCTTTAAAAAAGTAAATCCATTTATCTTCGACCGAATTGATCGGCTTCCATTCTTCCGAAGCAAGTTTAATTTCTAAAAAGTTGTTAAGATACACATGTTGCTCAAAGAGATGGTCGCTCAAAGTCTCCGCGCCGTTATTATTGAGATATAAAATAGTGTTTTCGATTTTTTTCCACTCTGTGATTTCAGATAGCGTCATCCAATCGGATGCTTCATAGTTGTCAAGTCTATGCGACTAATATATTCAACGCGATGGATTAGTAAATCGGTACACATTTTATTCTATGATAGATCGCATGGTCGCGTCTACTAACACTCGACCTACCTACCTAATATCGACACAGCATGATAGACTTTTAACATACTGATGTCAAAAATGTTGTTGATTTGTCAGGTTTATCGTTCGTTTCGCTTTCAGGTGAATACCAAACAGACGCCTTTCGATCTCAACGCGTAGATTTACTGCGTAGTTGTTTTAAACTCGGCTTTAGAATTTTCTACACGTAGAGCCAGTGGCATACCCGGGAATTTTTTAGGGGGGGGGAAGTATAAAATTTTTATTTTATCTGTTCTCTATTTATAATTATAGTTTAATTCAATACTAACAAATAACTGTCAATAACTATAGTGATAGTCACAATAGTTATATACACATCACACATATTCTGCACAAAGTTTTGCTATAATAGGTAGGTACTATAATTTGAAATCAATTTTTATTTGGTAGTAAAATGTTATAAAAAAATTCATAATTTAACTAACAATCATAAATAATATTAAAAATTAGTATAAATTAAACATGGTTTATTCATTATAGGAATTTATATAATCTATAAACTTTGTATATTGAAGATAATGGGACATTAAAATACACTATATAGTATTTACTATTAAACCGTTGAGTATATATAAATTTCAATGGGGCGTCTGGACCCCTCCCCCCTTGGGTACGCCACTGTAATGAACTGTAAATTATTTATGAGTTTATTTTGAAGAAAAATTAGTTTCTCCCCACCTCCCCCATGGCTTCAACATAAATATGCCCTTGTAAGTGTGCAATAATACAAAATAAAATAAAAATATTATATTTGAAATACTCCGATGAATATTGAAGAGGTACTCAAAAATAAAAGTAGGTGTTTAAAATAAAAATTTGATATTATTTAAATTATTTAAATACCAGTACTCAAATAATATTACACGGAATTTAAATACTTTCTGCATTTAAAAATATATAATATTATATGAAATATTCAGTGCAATTTCATAAACCGATTAGTCGAACAAAAACATTATTATAAATTCAATATAATTATTACTGAAATAAATCTCAAGTCAACGGACAATAACGGATTTTTCTCTTCTGATTCTAAATAATACACAAATATTATATAACATAAATTAGTAGGTATATGATTGGTTGATAAATTAAATTATTTATTTGTTAGCTGGTTTGAACAAAA